TTTTTTTTTTTAAGCAGTTCAAACTGCTGAGTCAGAATATGCGCTTTTATTTTGAAGTTTGGATCATGAGCTGTGAAACCGATCCAGAGTATGTGATCAAGGACGACCGACTGCATCGTGTTTGTGTATTGTGTCTTGTTACCTCCTGCCACCTGTTCTTTCACTTCCTCTCATTCCTTTCAGAGCAAGAGCCTGTGTTTTTGTTGCTGTATGATCGTAAGTGAAGGCAACATTTTCTGTTTCTGTCCTCTCTGAGCCAACAAGAGCAGAGAAGGAAGACTCTCACATGCTGGTTTGGTTCATTGCTGTTCTCGAGAAATTATGGATGGAAGTTTCTGAACAAAAACTTTTAGACAGTTTTTTGGGCAGTTAGTTTGAAACCCTTTTGAATATGAATAGAACTTAATACGCTTCAGTGGACACTGTGACATAAAAAAAAACATTTTCTTCTTTTAATATTTTCCACCTGTAAATGACAAATTTACCAAATTTCTTGGCCAAAATATAAGTCAAAATTTCAGATTATCTGAAAATTTCAACTTACTAAGTCAAACTTCTGAGAAAATTTGTTTTCTTTTGCTTCTCCCAATTGTAATGTGAATCTACAAGAGCTGCAATATCGAATTAAACATTAGTAGCCATAAAAAAATGTGAATGTTGATTTTCTTACGAATAAACGATAATGCGAGAATGCCCCTCTGTGGCAGATTTTCTCTATCTCTGTGAAATCATGCTTAATATACACTTAATTACTACCTTATGAAGCTTCAGTGTGAACTGGGCCTTGGTGGCTTTCTTCCTGCTGCTCATGTTCAGCGCAGAGAGGCGACTTTAAGGTTTTGAGTTTTAAATTTAACAAGAACTGATTCAATCAATCAGAAACTGCTTGTTAGTATTTCTGAGTTTTGGAAGCTTGTGGTGTTCCAAGCTCTTCATTACAGATGAAGGATTTCCTTCAGGGAATGATAATAAATCTGGAGTTCGGAGCGTCTGAGTAGTTTCAGGCTTGGTGGAGGTGAGACTTTGTCAGCTGACTGAGTAGGTGTCCGTCCAGAGATCAGCCTCAGACTGTGAGATTAATTTTTTACTCTTTGTTAATTAAGGTGACGACTTAAAAATCCTGCAGAATATGACCTTGATTTTATTTTTTGTTGAATTCAAAGAACACTTTGCTATCCAACGTCTGTCATAAAATCTACAAATCAGATATTTTAGCTTATTTGATACAAGCAGAACGTAAAACTGGAATTACTTTTGATTTTGACTTTTCTTTTGGTGCTCAGCCCACATTACTCCTCAGTCTTAAATTCTACAAAACTATGTTGATTGTTGTGTTTTTGTTCATGTTTTGTTCCTCATTTCCTGCCACCAAATGATGTGCAATGGTTGAGAACTTTTTATTTGATTTTAGTTTTTGTTTAGTTTTTTTTTTCACTGATGATGAAATGCTTTATCTGCTGAGATTTTTTTTTTAAAGCCATTTTGGTTTTGATGTGACATTCCTGAAGTGTGACAGAGCAGACGTTTGAGTACAATAAAGGAATGTATCTCATCCATGGTTGGACTGGGTTTCAATTATTTATCTTCTGACTGGTTAAGCATCAGTTTATCTTCATTTTTAAAGTAAACCTAAGCTTTAACCTATTGTAAGGCTTGTAAAAGCTTACTGCTGTGAATGTATAACAAAAAGTATAGGTCAGATAATAAACTGAGGTTAATTGATTCAGTAAGATTATTATATATTATTAAATTACAGTAAGATTATCATTATTATGAGCTTTTGTTTTTCATGTGTTTTTTCCTAAAGACTTTAGATAAGTATATTTACATCAAACTCAAAGAGGTCATTCAAACCAAGTTTGAAGTTGCTCAGTTTTCACAGCATATTCTATACATACATACACATATTCATATTCTATACATCCAAATACTGTAAATACTGTACTGTAAATCAAAACTGCAGTTAGTGTGCATTAAATATAAGACAATGTAAGTCTCATATTTTGTAACTTTTAAATCAAGGTTAGTTGAATACCCTGTTATATACCTCGACCACTGCTTCTCACTCCAAATTCTCTTTCACATACATGGTTCTCAGTGTATTTTGTCAGAGAACAACATCTGGAAACACAACAAGTTTCCAGATAAATATTTTGCCAAATATTCATCAAATGTTTGCTAAATGTAATTAAATATAGTTTTTATTGCATATAACATATAGTTTATTGAATGAAAGAACGTGTTTTTTATTCTAGTGTTTAAATCCTATAATACTGTGACAAAAATATCCGTACCTCTTGTAAGTGGGCATAGTTACTTAACAGGTGAGCTATACTAACTAGATTGTTGTGAGTGCAAGGTATTTAGGTACGATATCACATGAAGAAAAATGTAGTAGACTAAAGTAAAAGAGTACTAACAAAGAGTAAATGTTGTAATGCATAAAGTCAAAAATGTCACAATGTAAAAACTAGATTTATTTATTTTTTAGAAAGTTAAACTTCACACATTCACAAATACTAATAAATTGGAAGGTTATCGGATGATGATATAAGACTTTTTTTCTGTCATTTTTTTTTTTTACTTGTTATATTGAAAATCAAGTTACCATAAATAGTTTCCTGTCTAATAAAGGGCTAATTTAACAAAAACCCAATGTCAGTGCTAATCAGGAGTCATTAATTATTACTGGAGGTTCGTCTACTGCGGCCTTTTTCTAGATTAACATTTACACCGTTCTCAGACACAAATGACTAAAGTACTAAAAAAGTGCTAAACTAAATTGTTGCCATTATCTTTATGAAGCTCATTAACACTGTGGTAGCAAAAGGTGATTCCAGTGATTTTGGATCGTGTCCTTGCCTACATTCAGTCAGTCCTCAGCTGTCCTCTGTTACATGTGTTTCTCTCCTCCGGCTCTGTTTTTTCATCCAAACCGTTGTTTTTCCTCAGAAGCTCGAAGTGATAATCAGGATGCCAAGACTGAAAACGATTCACACAGCCTGTCAGGAGGCTTCACGCCAGCTCTGCTTATACAGAACAGACTGAGCACAGAGGGAGAGTGATATCAGAAAGTGGGCTGTGTGGTACTTTGCATTGTGGCTGTGACAGGATTGACTAGCTGTCATATTCAGCTTTCAGGTTTTGGCAGAGGGCAAACAAATTCATACTTGACTATATTAAGAGACACCATAGCAAATATTTACACCCACTCTAAGTGAGTGTAAGTGGTGTTTTCATTCATTTCAGCTTTTGTTTGACATAAGTTTATCTTTTAAAAAGAATTACCAGCTGTGATAACATGGTTGGCTGTGTTATCACCTTTTGATTGTGTGTGTGTGTGTGTGTGTGTGAGTGAGTGATAGCAAAAGACGCCTACTG